GGGTCACTGAAGAGTAGCACCGATGGCAGAACGCTGCTGTTCCCAAGCCCCTAGAACACACGCAAGGAGATCAGAGCCTCCATTCGAGTATCTCGAGCCGCTGGTCCCCTCGAAGCCCCAGATGCCCAGGCTCCTTCCTCCTCACACCAGTCGAGTCCTGGCGATCTGCACAGGCCCCAGGCTGGGGCTGGCTTGAGCCAGCTGACCGGGAAGGAGGCGGCACCTGTACTTCGCACAGGCTGTCTCTGGACACCTGTGCGTTAGGATGCTAAGCAAGACCTCTGAGCAGCACCCACCCTTGCACCTCACAGAAAGAAGAGACAGGCTGGCCCTGCCTGGAGTTCCCAGGCTCCCTCCAGGGCTGCATACTCTGGAGAGGACTCGGCCCCACCTTGTCCAGAGCCAGCCACTACCAAAACATCCCACACCTATGAGACCCAGGGACAAGCCTCTCCAGAGCATGAACTCTGCTGAAGGTCCTGCCTCTCACCCCCTCAGCCACCCTCTTCCCCATCCATACTGTCCCTGTGGGGGGTCCAGACCTCCATGGCTGCCAGTGACACCTCCTAGCAAGTTGCTTCATGTCCCTGGTCCAGCCCCAGGCAGGTGGGGAAGTTCCTGAAGTGGAATCTTCAGGATGGAGGGTGTGCCGTTACTTTCACAGCCAAGTCCAAGCTCCTTCGAACCAGTTTCCTGGCCCTGAGTGCCACCATCTCCGGGTCTAGGCTCAGGCTCCAGGAGGCCCTCTCCCTAGCAGACAGGAAAGGCTGCTGGGACACTGAGCAGCCAGGACAAGGCAGAAATTTTAGGGGTTGGAGAAGCCTGGACAAGAGCTGAGAGGCTGGCCTGGCTGGGATGGAGGCCCAGGTGGAAAAGGGCAGCTGCACAGGCCCAGGAGGGCAGGGAGGCCACTGGGGGCCAGAGAACCCAGGCAGGGGTGGGTAGGCAAGAATCAGGCACAGGGGAGGGGCTCACACTTGAGTCCCCCTTTCCCTCCAGTGAGGCCACATGGTGGACAGAGAAGACCTGATGCGGGCAAATGCCGGCACCCACCCCACCGGCTCCATGGCCCTGGGGCAGCCGACGATCACCCCTCAATCAGGTAGTGCTGGAGGGCAGTGGAGGTGAGGGCCCACCCTGCTCTAGATCCCATCCCAGACAGGCCCAGAATGGACAAGGGGGCTCCACAGGGCAGTCACTGCCCCCCTGCCTGTGGTCCCCGCCTCTTGGGATTGAGCCCCATTCCAAGTTGGTTTTCAAGGTTAGCTGCCTTCAGTCCATTGCTTTCCACTGAAGTCTGGTTCCAGACGGACCGGCCAGTGTCTTACCCTCTCCCTCCCACCACACTGCCCACTGCCACCTAGTCCCTCCAAAACCCCAGGCCACGCTGGTCCCTCTGCCAACTGACTGTCCGCCCACGCACCACCGGTTGGCCACCTCAGAGGCCACCGGCTCTCAGGAGCTTCTTGGACCCTTCTTTACTGCCCCCAGGCTGCCAGCAGCCAGGCAGAACCACATCCTCTCTGACCTGAGCAGGCTGCTGGCTAAGCCCCTCAGCATTGCTGCCTGGGGCCCACGCAGGCTACCACGCCCTCCACGCCACGCCACGCAGAGCCATGCCGTGCCAGAGCGCATGGATGTGAGTTGAAATAGAAAAGCAGGCACGTGAGGGGGAGAAAACCTGAAGGTGCTGGCCCCCACCCCTGGGACGGAGAGGCCCCGGGCACACGACCATGAGGAGGGCGCCCCAGGCTGTGAGGCTGAAGAGGGGCCGCTGTTGCTGTGTCAAGGTCCGAGCGGGAGGCATGTGCAGGCTGTGACGAGGCTGTACCAGCACGTGGAAGCCTCGAGCCACAGATGCCAGGAGCTCTGGGTCTCATCCTCCCCAGCGCTGGGACAGAGGGACGGCCCATGTCCCCAAACCAAGCCTGGGTTCTAAAGAAGCAGCCCCTGCTCCGGACCACTTCAAAGCGTTTCCCAGAAAGGCCCCCTCACCTGCCTAGGAGGCACTGCTGGTCCCAATCTGCATACAAGGAGCCCCAGAGAGGCAGAGTGGCTGCAGAGGCCACGTGGCCAGTGGAGACGGACCATGGCCAAGAATCTCAACCCCCACACCAGCCTGACCCCTATGCTTCGAGCCAGGGTTTGTGCTGGCGCTGGGGAAGCAGGGTTGAGTCCCATGGCCTTATTGCTCAGCTACTGGCCCAGATTGACCCTGGCTGGCCCCACTCACGCACCCGGCCACCTCTAATCAAAACCAGCCCGCGAGTGCCTCTCCTCTCGCTCAGGGGAGGCTCCCAAGAGCTGACAGGCATTAGGAAGAGTCAGGTAACATGAGGAATCGAATTGCCAAATGGCTCTGGGCTCATCAGCCCTCCCAGAAGCCGTGGGGATCAGAAGCCATTTAGGTGCCAAACCAGCTGGGGGTCAGCAGCCTGGACTTGCCCTGACTTTGAGCGCTAACGGTCATCACTGTGCTTGACACACAGTTGTGGGCACTTGTCACGGCCGACGGAGGCTCAGGGGAGAGGCAGCCTGTCCAGGCAGCTGGGCCCTGTCTCCACCCACAGGCATTAAGGAGCGGTCAGCCTGCTTCCCATGCACTTGACCTGTCTGCCTCAGACTTTCCTTGGGAGTCTGGCCTTTGGGAGCCCTGGAAATGCTGCCACTTGTCCTTGCTGAGGTATCCAAGAAATCTGCTGCTTTTTAGATGGATTCATTGCCCGGGTTTAAAAATTAGAACATTCACACAAAAATTCTAATGAGGAAAGAGGCTTCCTTAATCAGAATGCCAGTTCACATAGTTTGGGGTTGAGGCCCCAGATCCGTATTCTGGTTAAATCTTGATTCCTGGTTTCAAGTAAAAATCTGGACCTGGCCACCCAGGGCCTTGGAGTGGGGTGAGGTGCCTGGGCTCCAGGCCCAGTCCCTGGAGTGTCTGTGTCCCCGAGACGCCTCCCTTCTCCCCTGCAGCGTCATCTTCCACCTCTGCCTAACCAGCTTCCCAGGGCTGTGATTTGCACGCAACCCCCACCCCCGGTGTGGTCCCGCGGCCGCACGGGGTCTGGCCCCTGCCCAGCTCCCCCATCCTGGGTTCCTCTCCCCTCAGCTCCCAGCGGCTCCCCACGCCCCACCATCCTGCCGCTTGTCCCGCTTTCCGCTCCAGCCCGGACCAACTCCCACCTTAGGGCCTCTGCACACACCCTGCCTGGCACGAGCCCCCAGCTCCACCCATAGCTGCCCCGCCCCTTGCTCTGTTTTGGCTCGTGCACGGCTTCCTCAAAGAGGCCTTCGGCGCCTGCCTTTCTCTGTCTATGTCCCCTCCCTGTGTCTTTCCTTATCACCGGTCACACTTCAGCCAGCGACCTGGGCTGGGGTCCTGACTGCCCGTTCTCTACGGTGGGTCTGGGGCCCTGCTCAGAGTGAGTGCCCCGGTGGCCGTTGAAACCTCATCACAACCCCTGCCCTCTGCCACTGATGCTGGGGTCTGCTTGGCAGCAACCCCTGCATGACGATGCTCACAGGTCAAACCAGGACCTGCTACAGAGGAGACTCAACTGCCAGTGCACCGTGCCAGCTTTCCCTCCCTGCGCCCGCCTTCGCTTCACCTGGAATCCTGCCGTGGGAAAGCCACTCTTCTAAGGGACAGCACACACACAACCTCACTGAAAAGGGGACTTTACAGCCTGCTCGGAGCAGCTGCCCCATAAACCCCTCCCTGATGAAAGCCGAGCGCCCCTCCCCCCACCAACACTCGCTCCCTTCTCCATGAATCTGTTTCTTATAAAACTTGATTTGGGCCCAGGGTCCTCATCTGAGGCGGCCTGACCCCAGAGCCTCACAGCTGGGAGGTCTTGTCAGGGGCAAACCTGGCCGCCATGAGGGCTGCTGGGGAAGTCTGCGTGATGAGACTGGAGCACTGGCTAAGGAACCCAGGGCTTGGCTTCTAGGTCCTTCGGTCCTTCTGGGGACGTGGCAGGGCTAGGGGTGATTGGGTCTGTCCTGTCTTTGAGGAAACCGCCTGAACACACACAGAGAATTCTAAGGAGTCCGGTGAAGTAGTTCTGACTAATTGCCTCCGGTTTTGTACTTTTTTACTGTATTTTCTTCCTCAAGATCTGCTTTCATGTAAAAACCAGGCCTAGGGTCCCCCGCTGTCGCCTCACAGCCTCTGTCGGCTCTGATGTCTGCTGGGCTCTCTGCAGCCAGGGTCCGCTCCGTCCCCCCAAGGCCTGGCAGGGTCAGTGCCACGTCCCCACGTGTGCAAAAGCTGAGGTTCTAAGCCCGTATAGGAGCCTGCCAGGCTCCTCCAGGCCCCGCCGGGGGACTGTCCTGTCTTCCTTCCACCCCCTGTGCCCTTGACCACACAGCATGGCCAGGCCCCAGGAGCACCGGCCCTTTCCCCACCCCGAGCCCACTTGGCCGCAGCCCTCAGCTCACCCGGACACTCTGGGCCTGGCCATTATCTTAAGGCCACGGCGTCTGCTTTACAAGTGCTGCTCCCTCTGCCAGGAAGGCCCTCTCCTCGAAGTACACAGGCCCTGGCTTCTGGCCACTCCGTCCTGCCGCACTGCCCTACTGCTTTGGGCCCGAATCCTGGCCAGCACCACCCAACACCAAGGCCCTTCTCACCTGCGGGGCTCAGCTGGCTCCTGTGCAGTCTGGCCAGCCTCTGGCCGGAGGGGGCCTCTGGCCGGAGGAGTTACTCTGAAAACCCCTCTCTACTCAGCAAAGTCTAACCAACTACCCCTAAAGGCCAGGTGGCCAGCTCCCAATCACGAAAAGTGCCCCCTCCCCCAGCTGGTGGTCGGGGAACACACAGCAGACAGTCCTTCGTGCTGCCGGATGCACAGAGACTGAGAAATGGCCACTCGCCTGGGCAGGCCTCCAGCCCGCTTGGGGAAGGGAGCCAAGGGGAAGGGGACCCACTCTTCCTGGCCACAGCCAGCCCCCGGCCACTGCTCCAGGGGTCGTGCCTGGCCAGCACAGGTGGGACTCACCGTTGGAGCGGTGGATGCAGGTGTGCTGGTTGTCACTGAGGAAGAAGCCACTGTGGCACTGGCACTCGTAGCTGCCCATGGCGTTAACGCAGACCTGCTGGCAGCCCCCGTTGTTGTCCTGACACTCGTCCACATCTGCAGAGGGGAGGGAGGGTGGGGGGGTCAGACCTGGGGCTGGAGCAAGGAGCAGGCGACAGCTTCCCCAGACTACGGGAAAACTCCCCAAGCTACCCCACAGCAGTGTCTGCAAGGGTGCTGCTGGTGTGCCCCATGGTGGCAGACACACTCCACAGCAGGCCCCGGGGAGTCACTCCCCAGAGGTGGACAGTGGCACTGGGTTGGCAGTCACGCTAGTTGACCCTGACTCCCCTGTGTACCCACTGTTACCCCTGCATTAACTCCTCTGACCCTCATGGCTCCCCTGTTGGTCAGACCCAGGGGCTGGCCCATTGAACAGACAAGCGCACTGAGACCCAGAGAGGCACAGCCACCTGCCCAAGGTCCCACAGACTGTGCAGCTTACACTGTCTCCCCCGTACACAGAGCCCCCTTCGATCGTATTTCAGAAGTGTTGCTGAGGCCAGCAGCATGAGACCTGGCAGCCAGGACGAGGCTAGGGGACGAGGCAGCCTGCTGAACCCTGCTACCCAAGCTTTTAGCCTTGCAAATTGACTTCAAAAGCCCAGAGAACAGGGAAGCTTGGAAGGACCCTGAGCCCCGGCTGCCGAGACTGTGCGGAAGGCTGCCAAGCGGTCTTTCCCACTCCCCGGGAGAGACAGACCTCAGGGCGGCACTCACTTCTGGCCAGAGGCTGCTGGCACAAAGGGTGCTCTTGGCTGAAAAGAGTCTTTATGGAGTTCTGGTCTTGAACAGAACAGCATGTTTCAATTACCAGAGTCATAACCCCCTACACTGTCAGTTTGTTTAATGAAAGAAGGGCTTCTTAAACCTTAATGTGCCATGTCTGTATTGTCATTTTAATAGGCAAATATATGAAACCACAACGGCAACACGAGCTACTGGCTGCTGCCAGCCAGCACCCCAACCCCCAACACGCACACACATGCACACACATGCACTCTCACTCACGCACATGAACATACGCACTGGCTGCGGCCCTGAGCTTTACATACAGTTCTTTTAAACACCAGCATCTCCCCCCACCCTCCCCCTGAAATGAAAAGGATGCAGAGCGGTAAGGCCCCTGGCAGCTCGACCTGCACTGGCTGGAGAGGCCTCCGCGCCCATGCTGCTGTGTCCCCTGGGTCCTCCTCCAGCTGCAGGCAAGCAGACCAGCTCCCCCTGCAAAAGACCCTGTGGCACCTTTGAGGCTGACTGCGAGGCAGGTCATTATTCTCCGGCTCAAATGTCAGCCGTGTGGCAGCCAGGAGGGCGGCTGAGCTCTCAACTCTACAAGCCGCCAGTGACAGCTGATGCTGCGAGGGCAGCTCTTGCTGGGGGGCAGGAGGCCTGAGAGCAGGGGCTGGGGAGGACGGGGAGGAGTTACTCTGAAAACCCCTCTCTACTCAGCAAAGTCTAGCCAACTACCCTAAAGGCCAGGTGCTGGCGCGGCCTTTGCTGGGGGCGCCTCCCATCCACGCCCTGTGGTGTTCGCCTCTGGGCGCCTGTCCCCTGCCATGAACCACTCTAAGCCAGGCACCATGCATTGTTCACCCTACTGACAACCACACGAAGCCAACACCCCTTGAGTGTTCCTCATGCGTCAGAAACGAGGCCCCAGGAACATCGCCTCAGTGGACCCTTGCAGTGACAGACGCACAGCACAGACCAGGCTCCGCGGCTCAGAGAGCTCGAGTCACACGCTGCTCAGAGTGAGGGCAGGGCTCCTGAGCACATGCTTCCGGCCCTGCTGTGCTGGATCCCAGGTGCAGACGCCAGGCTCGGGCCACAGGCCACGAGTAACACACAAATGTGCCAGTGCACCTCGGTGAGTCCCGCCTCTGGCCTGGGAAGCCCCGCAGAGGCATGGGTGCCCCTGCGCTGGCACACACGCAGACTGAGACAGGGACACCGGGCCTCGGTCCAGACCCCCTTCGAGTCACATTCTCTGCCACTCTTCCTGTAGTTCCCAGAGTCTTCATTCTGCACCTCAGTTTCCCCAACCCCAGTAAAGGCTCCACTGGTAGACACAACAGACGCAGGCCCTCAAACGCTGGATTCACGGTGTGGAAATGCCACTTCGCCGTCACCACGAACGGCTTCCCTCGTGCCATCTGTCTGGCCTGACCTACCTGCACCCCTCCCTGGAAACCAGGCGCCAAAGGACAGTTGACACAAGGCGTCTGTGGGCCTGCAGAGGGCTGGCAGAGGGCAGGGCCTAGGGGCAGGGCGTTCCCAGGAGCAGGGAGCGGGGACTCCCAGCACTGATGAATGACGTGAAACAAAGGTGAGGCCTGGGAACAGTTCCCTTGCCCACTCCCAGACAATAACGCCCCAATATCAGCAGCAGGGAAGACGGGGCGGCCCTCTGTGCCCATTTCCCACTGTGGCCCAAACACAGGCCTCCCCCACAGTGAGCAGGAAATCAAGGTCGCAAAGACCGGTGGGTAGCCCGAGGACCTGGCCAACTCCTCTGCAGGCTGGATTAAGGCCTGAGGCCCACCTCTTGCCCCCGTGGCCCCTGCCCCCCAAAGGGTCCCACGGTGAGGTCTGCCGAGTGACCACTGGGGCAGTGGGTCCCTGAGACGGTGGCCCACTGGCCTAGGACAGACTGAGCTCATCTGGAGGCCTGCCACAGAGTGGTAAGCCTCGCACACTCTGTTCCTTGGGCCCCAGGATTTGGCACCGTCTATTCTGAGAGGTGCCCCAGAGCAAGGAGGAGCCTGCCCCGGGAGCTGGGCGACCCGAGTTCTGCACTGGCCTGGTCCCCAGGAGGAACGGCAGGCTCTGTCCTCAGGAAGCCCCATGCAGTTTTCTTCCTTCTCTCCTGTGCAGATGGGTCCACGCAGGGATGCGCCCCGTGTGGGAATCGCACCCCACCACCATGCCGCCAGAGATGGGCGCGAGGCTGGCTGGGCAGGGCCGGCAGCCTCGGATCATAAGCACCAGCTCTCGAAACCAGCACACCTCACTGTGGCCAGGCTGGGCGTGGACTCCCAGGCCCCGTCTCAATAAACCTGCGAGGCAGCTCTGCTCCGGGGCGCTGTTCCCAGCACTCCAGTTCTCAGGTGAGAAAACTGAGGCCAAGAGGGAGAGTCAAACACGCTGAAGCGGGATACGAAGGCCAGGAAGTCTGGGTCCAAAGCCCTCACTCTGTCCTTCGGGGATTCGGCACTTCTGGACGAGGCTGCGTGGTGTCGAGAGGCAGGTCCCTGAGCATCTATGCTGCAAAATTCCCTCGCCCCCTGCCACACACACGTCTCCAAAGCCCTGGGTGAAAGCCCCCTCCTCTCTGGAATCATCCTGACGCCCAGCAGATGCCCAGCGCCTCTGGCTGTCAGACCAGATGTACCTTTGTTCTCGGCTTCCTGCCTCCTCCCTGGACCTCAGGCTCAGCCGCCCTGTCTCTGCTCTGGGCTGAGGACAGAGCTGAGTCTCCTCCACATTCCCACACCCTGCAGAGTGGATCAGGCTGAGTGGGTACTCAGGGGTCAGCAGGAGAAACCACAGTTCACACATGTGCTTGCACACAGAAGTGACAGGGCGCTCACTACCGTATGAGGCCAGTCCACTCGAGCAAAGCACTGTCCTGGCTCCTTCTGGGGACAACACAGGGGGCCCAGTCAAGGCTCTCTGGAGCCTGCCACTGTGTGCAGTGAGGCCCTGAACGAGCCTGTTTCCAATCCATGATCCCTGACCCCTGAGCAGGCTCGGGTGGGGCGAGGAAAGTGCTCTGCTCTGAATCCTGCTGGCAGCTCAAGGTTCTTTATCTTTATTTATGGCCACAGCTGAATGTTCCCAGAAGGCAGGGAGCTCCTCGGTGTAGGGTCTTAGCTACAAAGCCGAGAGGAGGCTCCATGAGTTCCGGGCCAGACCGTAGGAGGCTCCTCTTGGGAAACCCTTTTAATTGGCAACAAACGAACTGAAGGCCATAACGTGGAGAACAGAATCTCAAAGCCCCCAGTTCTGTAAGAGTCCTGTGTGGGGCTTTGCATGGACTGCCCGGAAGGACCCTGTCTGCAGCTTCCCTGGGTGAACCTGCTCCTCCATTAAGCCACAAACACATCTCGGTGCCACCAGGACTGATGGTGAGGGGTGGGGGTGATAGGCAAGAGTTTGGGGAAGGGAGAGGGCACTGAGCCGTACCTGGTCCCTGACTCGGGGCCCTTGCCTGGCGGAGCTGGGAGAAACAGGTCATTGCAGTGAGGCCTGCGGTAAAAGCAAATGGCAGGCTGCTGCCTGGCCGGAGCCGGGGGGCCGGGTGCCCAGGTGCCCAGGGAGCATGCATTGGTTGGGCCACTGCTGGGGGATGCCGGGAGCGGGGGGGGGGGGGGGGGGACTAGGGGGCCGAGCAGGACAGATGGGGGCCTCATTCCAGCTCTGTTCTGCCCCACTGAGGCCTGAGATTGCCTGGTCTACGAAGCCCCGTCCCTCGGTCTTTCCTGTACCCAGGCGTCACCGAGGCTATTGGGCCTTCCTCGCCACCTGCCCATCTGCCTCGCCCCACCCCCACCTCACCACCCTGCTGGGCTGAGGCCGCTCCCCGCAGCACCGGCTGTGCTTCTCCTGGATCCCGGCACCCGGCCTCTCCCTCCTCCGCCCAGCGGCCTGTGAGGACTCCCACCAGACCAGGACGGCAGTGTCTCGGCACCCAAGATCAAGCCCAAACGAGGCCTCTGGGGTCAGGGCTCCCCAGTGCCCTGGGCAGCACCCTGCACAAGCACAGGACTGGAAGCTGGGGTTGGGGCACCCAGCCCTCGGCCGCGGCCCCGTCTCTGCCGCCACTGAGGGGCTGTCTGCAATGCGCCCCGTGCTGTGAAGGAGATGTTCTCCCGCACGGAGGGCTCCGTAGCCGACACCAGAGGGCTGCAGGCTGGTCGGCCTCCGAGGCCTCTGCAGGCGGAACGGTGGTTTGCCCGTGAGGTCTGCTTTCTGGCCCAAGGTGCTGCTGTTTGTTTTCATTAATAGCTGGCTGTGGGTCCTACAGGGGACCAAGAATCCAGGCTTGCAGTTAT